CATACTGCATACAAACATCCATTGAATATTGGATGATTATTACTTATATTTACTATTTCTACTTATACACACAATTTACAATTTTCTGATCATTATTCTGTATTTCCAATTACATTAACTACAAGCCGTCATAAAACTGCATAAAGCCTTATCAAAATCCAACAGACTGAGGCCAATGTTTGTAAATTGTTGTTTATGCCACTTGTTCACTTTCCGATAGAACAATTTGCATCCTAAATTCTTTTCTAGACAATTAAAAATAATAATAAACCTGCCTTGAGGTTTCTCTGTTTTCAATGTCTCAGCTATTTAAATATTATTTCTAAAATCTTTTTCTAATCTCCATTTTTCATGTCCTTCTACTTCAGCTACCACCTCCCTGCTCATCATCTTCTAATGAATTCTCTCTCTGTTTGCTATTTTGCATTTACAATTCACTGAGTGAAGTTCTTTTGAGAAACAATTCTTCGTCCTTTGTGAGCTGCACTAAACAAACAAGCAGGCAGGCAAAACAAGCAAGAAAACACCGTCAGTATCATGTATGTTTCAATTTATTTAATGCTGACTCCTTTTATATATTGAAAAAGAGATTCCAATACAATTAAAATAGTTTACTATTACAAAGACAAAGAATATTATTATACACCTATTATTTGTATTGTGTTAACATATTGAGAAATACATTATTTCCTCACAGAATGCAAATTCTCCATGTATAACATTTAATTCACAGATGTTTCATTACAAAATGCTCACATACTGAAGATGGATCACTGCTTTATCATGGTGGATTTCACACATAAGTGATAAATGCAAGCATTTTTTCAGCGTTTTCACATATTTTGAACTTGATTTAGCTACCTCCAAATCGTCTAATTCTGTTTTTGTTATAGTTGTGTCTGTATTCATTATATATGTATTTATTATATCTATTTATGTTCCTGAAATGTATTGAGGCTCGAAAAAATAGAATATTTCAGTGCCTGAATATGAAGTTATTACTTTATGAAAAGTATATTTCAATTTACATTTCATTATTAACAATGTCCCTGTAGTTTCACAAAACTGATTTTTCTGCAAATATACACTAAGCACTATTCTGTCTTTACAAAATATCTGCAGCATTAAGCCAAGAAGAAACCCTGGGCAGTCAACATGAGAAAAGCAGCCTACGAAGTGAAACTAGCCCCAATCCAAGTAGCAAGCCACTGAAAAGCTTGATTTACCCTCAGAACCTGAAGCTCTCATATTTCTTCGCCTGCTTGTAGTCTTACCACTACAATACAAGCACCAGATCTCTGACACTGCACAAGAGAATCTAGCGTGTTTCTTCTTGCAGGAACAGATAGGAAAGCCACATTTAACTGAAGGCCAGATTCATCTGCCTTCTATCCTATGAGAAATATAAGGCAGTGGTCAAGGCCTGTCATCATGCTCATCCTGAGCAGAATCCCAATGGCTAAATTTTCTCTATGTGGTCTACAAAAGTGTAGAGGGGTAGCCTGCATGTGGAGAACAAATAGCTGAAGTGGCACTCTCATGGACTAGCATAAAATCATTTTACTGTTAACATATATGAAAGCATATGGGCATTTTATTAATTAATTTAAAGCAACTATCTTCAGGTGGCACCTTTTCTGTGATTATTATGTAAATGACTTGAGATCAGAACAAGACCAGAAACACATTACAGCTATCTTGAGTCCCAAAGCAATTTCTCATAATTTCTTCTACTAACTAAAGTCTGTATTTTAAAATAATGCAAAATACTATGACAACATTTAGTGTCATGTCAACAACAGAAACCAAAATAGTCAAATTTGATGTGCATTTGGAAAAATATTGTATTCATTCACATTTATAGTTACCATCTATTCATAATAGTTAAGTTCTCATAGTTATCTATACAAATAAAAACATTAGTAGTCCTTTTACTCTACCAACCAAGCAACAGAAGGCATTAAGCTGCCTAAAGCCTAAGACATTTAAAACAAGATAAAAAAACATGCTAAGCAAAGTTGATCAGTTGACCTTGCAACTGCTAGCAAATGATGTATACTTTCACATAAGCTGTTAAACTATTTTCAACCATTTTTACAACAGATAGATGGGTGGTAGAACTTTGTTATTTTCTGATATGATAAAAATAATTTCAAGTTGTGAAAACTGAAAATAAATGAGCTGATTAAGTGAAAATAATTAAAAAACAAAACAAAAACCCAACAAAAAAACAATGTACAGAGTCCTTACAGGGAAACATACACCAAGTGTGAATGACAAGCCAAAGTTATCTCTGGCACATGCAAACATGTGTATAATGCACTGAGACCTAGCTCTCTTAGAATGCCTCTAGAGTTCTAATTTCATTGCTGACAGATCTATATTTCAATGACAACTTGTGCCCAATAAGGACAATATATTTCACATTTCATTAGAATAGATTTTCAGTGTGAATATTGTGAATTACAGGTTGCCATATTTTAACAGAAAGCTATGTTAAGCATGGATAGAAGCAACTGTAGCTGCAACACTTTACTGCATTTTCCAATATACGGTATAAAGTTAATAAAAATCATTTTTAAACGTTCAAATGCTACACAAAACAGGGAATACGGCTTTATAATCAAGAAAAATATAGAAATTGACCAGCAACTAGAATGGGACAATTCCTGAAGGAGAAACCAAATCTGTAAGAATGGGAAGAACTGTTCGAGCATTTTCCTCTGTTATATTTCTGTATCTTGCATATACACAAAACGGATGAACAATTCATTGAAGAAAGCCCTTTGAACAAAGCAGAGCATTTTAAATACCATAAACAAATGTTTTGTTAACATTTTCTCACCCTGACCTTTGAAGTTCACAGAAAAACATGCATTCCTATTTCCTGTAATGTCCAAAGAATACCATCCGTTGCTTTTTGTTCAGAAATTTATGATCAGGAGGCACATCGGTCATGCACCAATAAAGCCTTCTACTAGATTCAGTTTGCTTTTGTGACTAATCAAGATAATTTATATCATTAAGATCACATTTATTAGCTTTTGAATGCTGAGTGGAAGGTAACAAACAAGGGCGTCTTCTAAAATTCTAATCTACGTATTATATTATTATTTTTCAATTAAAAGATGAGACATGTACATACAGAGACTATTAGCAACAGGATGTAAATTAACACAAGGAAATAGGACAAACTATTTACTCTTCTTTTCAGCTAGATTTTCCCATCATCTGTCATCATTTTATAACTACTGCTAGTCTCTGATGTGCCATCTTCTACTAGAAAATTCTACAGTTTTGTAGAAGCCACTATGAGATCCCACAGTGACGCTACTGCTTCCTTAAGATATGTCCTCTGTTCTTCTTTTAAATGCACATTCTTTTTATACACTGGCTAGCAAGGTGGTGTTTCTCTACACACCCTGCTTAAAAATCATGCCTTTCTTAGCAGCCAAGTCTAATATGAAAGTTGCTTGATACAGACACAGTGTACTGCACTGAATGGCCAGACAGGTATTTTATGAATGGAGTGCATCACGTGCTCCCCGCACTTCCCCCCCCACAGCCGATATTTCCCACATAACAGTGTCAACAAGCAGAGAACAGTATTTTTCAACATAAGAAACCAGAAAATCCTAACATTCAAGGCTACTGACTTTTTTCTGTTGCCGTGCAAAAAATTCCATTCCTTGCAAGTCAGGTTCCAAAGAATGTGAAAGGTGGCGTAGGTTTAATTTTTTTATGAATGAAGACTGTGGTATGCAAATTAGAACGATTCACAAAAAAGAAAATATGGCGGCTGCTTCCCTTTTGGTTGCACAGTACTGCAGCACTTCACAGTAACAAACCAGCTCAATGCAATGTTTTGCAATCTGACTATTGCAATTCACAATTTATCCATGTTATATTAGCACCTTCTAGTTCAGGAATGAAAACATTAATTTTAGAAACACGTAGAACCTTGCTCCTTCTACCGATCCTTCTTGAGGACTTAAGGTTTTATTTGGAGGAATGTATGCAAGTGACAAGTGTTCCTTTCCCCATCCAACAGCAAAAAACTGTGCTTTCCATTCAAGTTAACTACTAGAGATAATACTAATACCTTTGCTACTAATAATAGTAATAAAAGCCTACTAGTTCCACCTGAAAAATTCTTCTGCACTATAATTTGAGCTACAATTACTGTGAGCTATATCCAGGGAAATGACTAACTGGCAACTCATTCTGCAGAAAAGAATAACCACTGACAGAGCAGGATCTGGGCGTCAAAGGCAATATCCACGTTTTTAATTCTTTAGTAGAAATCAGAAAGGTCAGGACCATTAACCAGGCTAGTATGATGCAGAAATGCCATATATGTCTATATAAGATTTGGGACTCCATTATTCCCAGTTATTTTGAGATCTACACAACCCTGTAGATATTAAAAGGTATGTTCTCCGTGGATTTCATCCAAACTAAGCACATTAACTATATTAAATCTTCGCTTCATTCCATCCTCCACTTAAAGAGAAAAAAACCCTAACAGCTCATTAAAACATTAAGCTTTGGAGGAAGGTTTAGCACTGTATTTACACGGACTGACTCACCCAATTAAAATTCAGGAGCAGTTTCCTACAGGATGAAGCTCCCACACGCTACTTGCAATTTGAAACATCCATATGAAAAGTGGACTTTTCTAAAACGTAGGATATAGACGACTCCAAGTCCGGGAGAAAAGGCAGGGTGCGTTTCATTCGCTCTTACCCACCTCCCCAACCGTCGTATATTAGGTCTAACGTGATGTCCCAAAGCCACAAAAGAAGACCAGTTCTCACGGGAGAAAGACAGAGACCCCCTCCAAGGTGTTTACATAACCAGAAGCACCGACGCGCGTTAAAACACAAACCTACGAGCCAGCTGTGTAAGACCGACAGAAGGGAGATCTCTAGACCAGGTCCATTCATGGAGGCGATCAAGCTCCCCCTAGCCCCACCAAGCAGAAATGAAAGCCAACTTACTCGTTAGAATTCGCCGTCTCTTCGCTCATTTTTTCCTCACCGTGATCCGATACGGGGATGGACCAGCACCGAGGCAGCCAGGGCGCAGCAGGAGCTCACCAGAAACCTCACCATTGTTAAAGCCCCGATCTGCCCCTACTTCACACCCTACCGCTGGAATGGCCTCAATCCTTTGGAGTGCCCCCCCCCTCGAAACTAGCAGCTTGACAAACAGCTTCTCTCCCCCCTCCCCGCCGTCGCACACGTCTTCTTCCTCCTTGAGCACGGAAGCGAAGGGGACCGGGTTTGTGTTTGTCCAAGAGTTGGCTTGACTAGTTCCTGCTTGGCGGCGGCGGCGTCAGCCAGGGTAATCCCAGTTCCTCTGTTGCCTTTCACCGGGAATAGGGTGGCTGTTGCTGCTGCCGACGGTGGCGGAGCCCAGCAAAATCTCTCCGCGGCAGCCGAGCTCCCTGGTCGCGTCCTGGCGCTGCAGCGGCACGACAAGCCCACATCTCCCGCTGCTGCAGCATGCAGCGGCTCCTCAGGCTGGCCTTCGCTTCCTTTCCTTTTCCTCCTCCTCCCCCTTCGGTGCCAGCCCCGGGGCAGGAAGGAAAGAACAGCGGCAAATATATATATAGTGTATATAGATATATTCCTTCAGACACCAACAGCGTCCGTAAAAAAAAAAAAAAAATCAGAAAAATAAAAGCGCGGGGCGGGGGAGAGAAATCGCAACGTTTTCCAGGAGCAAGCAGAGGCAGCGCTGAGAGAGGAACTAATTCAGCCGCGAGCAGGCAGGCGAGAGGAAGAGGGAGGAGGGAAGGTGAAAAGGAGAAACGCAGCGCGCGGCGGCGGCGGCGGCGGCGGGGGGGGGCGAGGGCTGGGTTTTAAAGCAGCCCGAAGGTTAGGAGCCGGAGGGCGGGGGCGTCATGGCTTGGTGGCTGTGGAGAGGAGAGGGAAGGAAAAGAACAAGGCCAGAGGTGCCCTCCCCACACACACACACCCAAAAAGAAGAAGAATCTGAGAAAGACGAGCAAGTTTAGTAGCATCGCCCCACCCGCAGCATGCCTGCCTGCCTGCCTGCCTCTCTCCCTCCTTGCGGGAAAACTGGGCGGGAGCGTTGACTTCAAGCTCCTTCCGCCGCTAACTCTTGAAGGCGAGGAGGAGGAGGAGGAGGCGGCAGTGTTTGCCAAATTGCCCCGTTCGTTGCCCGGGCTTTCGGCCCTAAGGCGCTCTCGAAAGGCTCCGAACTTTCTTTTTGAAGAAAGGGGAAGAGGCCGGGACGGGGAGAAGGGAACCGGGACGCTCCCTTTTCCTCACAAGGAGGGCCCGGAGGAGGCCCTTCGCTTCAAGGAAAGTGCCTCGGAGGAACACGGCGGCCGAGGCGCCTGGCCCGGCCGGTCTGCGGTTCTCGCTGAAGGCAGGAGGAGCCAGCAGCCTTAATTAAGCGCGGGGGGGGGGTACGTTGGCGACGCGCGTTCTCCCACTCACACGCAGCCACAGGAGGGTGTCCCCTTTGGCTCCCCTGAACCCGTCACGAATAAAAACCTCAAACAGGCTTTGCCTGCAGAGCAAACCAGCCTTGGTTGGGGCAAAAAGAAACCCCCAAAGCGGTAGCAAAGCAACAAGCCGGCCTCCTCTTCCTGCTCCTGTGTGAAAGACGCTGCCGGCCACCCTCGGAACTTGGCGGCGCGGGCTACCTTCGGAATGAACCACCCAAAACGCCAAAAGTTGGAGCAAGCCTAAGGAAGCGCGCAGTCGGCTTCACGCTATTGGCCCTGAGAGGGCTTTAAAACAACATTCCCTGACGGTTTGAACCTCTATTGGGATTTTGTTTCGTTGAGAGACTATCCTGAAGGGTGTGTGTGTGAAGGGGAAGGGAAGGAACACCCAAATAATCCTATGTACTCTCTGCCCCAACTCCTCAAACTTCCCCCCCTCCGATTTGTCTCCACCGCTGCTTCTACTCCAGCCAAGCACAAACGAGTTTTCTAAAAGTAGTTCCCTTCTCGGCCACTAATTTCGAAGGGTTGAGAGAGAGAGTCCCTCACAAGCGCGCGCAGCCACAGCGGAGGGATATACAGTACAGTATATGGGATTCTACGCGAGAAGCTTGCACGCTTTATTTTGGACTGTGTGGCGGAAGAAGACAGAAAATGAGAGAGAGAGAGTAATCGGACTGAGGCTGTCCGCGGAGAGCGCTTTGCGAGCTTCCTTCCAAAGGGTGGGATGCGTGCGCAGGAAGGGAAAGGGGAAGGCTGGTCGGTCGGCCGGCCGACGGCCTTGCCAGGAATAATAGTGAAGGCATGGAAGTCTGCACGGCGCCGGCAGTCCTTCAGTTGTAGGAACTTGGCGCTCGCTCTTCTTTCCTGGCTTCCTACTCCCGCTCGTCGCCCGCGCCCACGAAGGCTCTGCTTTCCTCCTCCTTGGGAGCACGAAGCAGGCGCCTTCCTCCCTTCCTTAAGCGTGATTGGTGGGTTCCACCGGTTGGCTTTCACGTGTAGAGCTCGTCGGGCGCGTAGAGTGGGCTTGTGCTGCGCAGGGAAAGGGATTGCAGCGCGGAGTTGTCGAGGGTGAGCGCCAGAAGCCACCAGAGATCTGGCGAGGTCCCGTTGCGAAGTGCCCTGGCTTTAGGGTTCAGTGGGACACGGGCGCTGGTGTCTCTCTACAAAAAAAGTTTTTTAGAAAAGCTACAAACTTTTCTCGGTCCCTGCACAAATTGCATAGCAATCGGTCCTCCCAGCGTCCCAGGTATATCCATTCAAGACTAGCACTTCGTACAGAAGTCGCGCGTCCCGTTGTTTGTTCAAGACACCGGTTGCTTTCTAGCCGGGATCCCTTCTCTCTACGGCTGAGTTCTAGAAAAGCGTCGTGATGGCGCAAGGTTCACTTATGGGTGGGGTGGGGGGTCTCCATGTGAATGAGGGGTAGTGAATCTCCCTTCACACATTTTCATAGAAGCCTTCTTTCCGTTCGTTTGAACTGATGATGGATGGGTTACTAATAGAACCACATGATTTTATTCAAACATCCCAAAGGGACCACCAGGCATGAAACACCTTGAGGTCCAGAATAGATTCAGAGTGCATTCTTGCATTCTAACTTGTGCACTTCAGTTTTCTGAGCAGGTTGATGCACCAGTTTTCAATCAAGGAAATTCCACTGCATGAAATGGGACTTGTTACCTGCTGTCAAGTCACTTTTAGCTGATGGCAACCCAGTGAATTAGTGGCCTCCAGAAAGTTCCAACAATAACAGCCCCGCTCAGGTTTTGCAAACACAAGGCTGTGGTTTCCTTCATCGAGTAAATTTAATTCTTATTTGATCTTTATCTTTTCTTATTGTCTTCAACTTTTTCCAGCATTACAGTATTATGTTTTCTAGTGAGTGTTGTCCTGGGACTTACTCCTTTATAAATTCAGAACAACAGTCCAAACAGCCTGCAAAGTGCTTCTTGAAAGACACGTTTATATTGATCAGCTACACCTTGCCTTTGAAGACCCTCCCCTCTTTGATGTCACTTTTGGAATTTGCCCTAAGGGCAATGGAATGAATGTGCTTCTATTTCCTGCTGCTCTTTGGGTGTAAAGCTGGAAAGACATTGCCTGCTTTTGGCATGAATCTCACCCTTATTACTTTGTTGATACTGATTGCTCTGTTGAGGCCAGACTGTCATCTTTGCCATCCTTTGCAAAGGAAGACTTTTCTCTTTAGGCAAGCTTTCCTTTAAATGGATGAACAAGGAGGTTTTTTAAGGGACATTTGTTTTACTTGAGTTTTTAATATTTCTCCTATTTATGAGTTTTAATATATGTGTTTTGTTTTGTTTTTGCATCCTTCAGTCTCAAGAGACAAACGTGTTCTGAATAGAGCAGAGGTCCCCAACCCCCGATCTGTGGCCCGGTGCCGCATGATGGAGAAAGACCTCCCCCTGACCCCCATACTCACTCCTCCCCGCACAGCCCAGTTGCACATGTGTGCACATATGTGTGCCCACATGAGCGCTCCCCCCCTTTGCGCATGTGCACAAGTGCCCCCGAGTGCCACACCACCCTTTGTGCACAAGCATGCCCACACAAGGGCTGTGCCACCCTTTGCACATGTGCACGAGCGTGTGTGGGCCTACACAAGCGCCCCTTGCTCCTTCGCACATGGGCAGGGGGGTGGCCCGCCTTCCCCAGCTAGTCCATGGGGCTAAAAAGGTTGGGAACCGCTGGAATAGAGGACGTGGAACAACGTCTAATGTGCTTGAAAAGGCCAATTCAAGAGTGACAGTCTCTTCCACACTGAAGGCAAGTACAATCTGTCCCCTGTCCAGTTCCCTGATTTTGCTGGTTTCTGGACTGCCTCTTGGCCTGCTGGACAAGTGTCTCTTCAAAATGGGAGAGGCCATGCTGCGCTGCCTGCCTCCGGATTCCCATCTGTTGAGGTGCATTCCTAAGGCCTTCAGATCCTGCTTGCAGATATCCTTGTATCACCGCTGTGGTCTCCCTCTGGGGCAATTTCCCTGCACTAATTCTCCCTACATCTTTTGGAATCTGATCATCAGCCATTCTCACGACATGCCCAAGCCAACGTAGACGTTGCTGTTTCACTAATGTATACATGCTAAAAATTCCAGCTTATTCTAGGACTACTCTATTTGGAACTTTGTCCTGCCAGGTGATACCAGAAATGCGTCAGAGACAGCGCATATGGAAGGTGTTCAGCTTCCTCTCCTGCCATGCACAAAGGGTCCAGGACTCACTGCAGTACAGGAGTGTGCTCAGAACACAGGCTCTGTAGACCTGGATCTTGGTATATGCCGTCAGCTTCTTGAGACATACAGTCTTTGTGAGTCTAGAAAACATGGTAGCTGCTTTGCCAATGTGTTTATCCAGCTCAACATCTACAGAGAGAGTGTTGGAAATCGTTGAGCCAAGGTATACAAAGTCATGAACAACCTCCAATTCTTGTGTGGAGATGGTAATAGAGGGAGGTGAGTCCACACCCTGGCCCATGACTTGTGTTTTCTTCAGGCTGATTGTTATACCAAAGTCTTGGCACACCTTACTTTATGTTTAATGGTTTTTAAAATATTGTAATAATTTATCATTTAGCTTTTAACTTTTGTTTCTTTTAATACTGTAAGTAGAGATGGTTCGGAGGTTTGTGTTGGTTTGTATTTGCGGCACCACAGGTTCCCTTCCCCCACCTCCCTGGTCAATGACCCACTCACCAGTTGGAATGCAGACCTCTCCTCCTCTTCAGCTGTTTGACCTGTCCCTGGCAGGAGCACGGGTTTGCCTGTCCTGTGTCCTTGTCTGAGTAGGCAGTCAGCTGAGTAGGTGGGGCAGGCAACCCATGCTTCTACCAGAGACTGGTTGAAGAGCTGAAGAGGAAAGAAGTGGGTGCTGGCTGGAAAACAGGGGGTCCAGCTGGGGAAGGGAATACATGGCACCTGTATGAATCGGTGTGAACCTCTGAACCGAGGTTTGTGCCCATCTCTAACTGGAAGCCACCTTGGATCATTTAGGAGAAAGGTGGTATATAAATATTTAAAATAAATAAATAACTTATTCTACATTCTTGTTAACTTGGC